GGGATGACCACCTCTTTGTGGGCTGCTGCACGTGAAGTGGCGACGCAACCTGAACCCCTCAACGCGACATGATGCTTGGCGCGCGCGTGGCGGTAAAGGCCGACATTTTGACTTACACTCCTTTTCACCATTAGGCATCAACGCTGAATTTCGTCAAGATGCCATTGGGAATCCAACGTCTAAATGCGAAGAAATCGCAACCAAACGATCGCATCGTTTTTATCAAACCGCTCAAAGGCCGCGATGAAGCCATTGCCCAAGACTTTCTCGAGCGCATCGCCGCACAATGCCGTGAGCTTCCTTCGAATCATCGCTTTCTCAAATCTAATCATCTTGCAGTGCCAATAATGAGAGAAAACCACCTTTCCGTCATGTCCCTAGAGGAATACGAATTCAACACCGAATTCGTTGGCCGCAACTTTAACGCCGGCGAGGTCATCCAACTCGTGCTCAAAGCCCGTTCAGGCCATTGGCTTCCGTTTGATTATGTCCAGATGGTGATGATGCATGAGTATTTACTCCACCACCTCTCTGGGTACGTGTAGACTGATATCGTCTAGACTAGCGCACTGCAAACAAATGAACCATTCCCGCGCCTTCTGGGCCGTCCGGAACCAATACGCCGAGCAGATGCGTCACCTCTGGGCACGCGGTTTCACCGGCGAAGGCCTATGGGGACGCGGCGCGTTCTTGTCGACGGGCGAGTGGGAGAAGAACTCGGTGCGGGATGGGGAGTCGCTTCCGGAGCACTTGTGTGGCGGGACGTACCGCTCTGCAGGCAGAAAAAGGAAGGCCAAGAGTGCGTTGACGTACCAGGAGCAAAAGGAGAGGAGGATACTCAAGAAGTTTGGGGCGAATGGGGTTGCGCTTGGAGAGGACGAGGAGGTCAAGAAGAAGTTGGAAGGCAAAAAAGTGGCGGCGAAACCGAGGGTCGCCGGGAGTGCTCGGGGGAGAGATCTCCGGGCGGCGGCGGCGTTGGCTAGGTTTGACCAGCAGCAGAAGAAGGAGGTGAAAGAGGACGAGGGGATGAGTAGTGGGGAGGAGTATGAAGAGGAAGGCGATGCGGTTGATTTGGATGGGAGGAGGTTGCTTGATTCCAAGGGGAGAGGCATGATCAAGGTGTGCGAAGACGAAAACCCCGAGGACGAGGATGTCAAGCAGGAGATCTTGGAGCTGCGAAGCTGTGGCCCGAAATGGTTTGGGAGAAGCGCGAAGACGGATCCTCTGGTGTTGGACAAGGAAGATGACACCACATCAAAGGTGAAGGAAGAGGGGAAATCTGACAAACTGCTACCGCGGGAGCGAGAAACGACAGGGGAACAATCACAACAGACAACGAAGCCGGCAAGTTCCAAGGATCCGCCGGTTGCGAATACGCCGACGGGTGTTTGTCCGGTTTGCTCCTTTGCAAACGACAAGATGTCCCCAACCTGCGCCGTCTGCTCCAATGTTCTGCACCTGAAGAACATGCCGGGTGCATGGGCTTGCACCAGTCAGGCTTGTCGAGGCAGTGCCTATCGCAACGCAACAGATTGTGGCGTATGTGGTGTCTGCGGGGAAAGGAAGCCTGCGTTGTCTAGATGACACGGCATACTTTACTAGGGTCGTAGTGGCACTGCTATCCGCGGAGGTAGTGTAGCATTGGTGGTCAATATTGATGAACTGTCCGTTTGTTGGTCCCAGAATCCTGATAGGTGCCTGGAATTAAGCAAGTACCCCGGTCGTTGAACGATCAGCGCAGCATAACGCAAGTTGTTGGAATGGATCAGTGGCTCAAGAGCTGTGCCCAACTCTGTGCCGCGCATCGTTCATGCGGAGCTGAAGCTTGATCGATTGTCCAGTCATTTCAACAGCCTAGGTGCCTAGGTAGGATAATCACAAATCACTGAAGGTGCCTTGCTCTCAATGGAAGTGTGATTGAAACGCATCTCTTTTCTCAGCAAGTCGAAGCTCAAGATGGAGGGTCCCGGAAAAGCGCTCCCCGCACTCTTGTTCTCCAGGGCAGCTCCTTCTCGTTGTCGTCGTCAGGGCTTTTGCGCGTGGTGTCCTTGTCGACAGGGGTCGCCCCGCTGCCGCCGTGGATTGGCCAATCGAGGGGGCCACAGCTGAGGCGTTCGGCTGGCGACGGACAGGCGAGTGTTTCATCCCCTTTCCAACACTCCAAGCAGGCCCACTGTGCCTTCCCGATCTGCCCACAGTGCCCGGTTCGTGCTGGGATTTCTGGAACCGCCATCATTTTCGGATGCTGAGAAGGCGCTGTCGCAGGACAAGACCTGGCTGACGAAGAGCCTCGTCACTGGGCAGCCCGGCGGGTCTTGCAGATCCCCGCGCACGCCCCTGGCAGTGTGCAGGGGGTATCATGGGTCGAGACCAGAGCTTGTTCTGCGGCCTGGCACTTGACAGTCAAATGTAGAAAACCGCTACCCTTCCGTTTCCTTCAATATCCATATCATCATCTGTTTGTTATGTTTTTTTTTTCGGTTTTGACAAACGGGCATTTGCATTCTTTTTTTTAGTTACCCGTTCCTGTTCATTTCTCACTCGCGTCTTTGGCCGTGTGTCGGATCCGTGATCCTTTTCACCCTCTTTTTCATCTGAATCAGTTCGCATTCTCTCGACTCGACGTCTGTTTTATACCTGCGAGCTCTTCCTGCCAACACAGTCCCAACCTACCAGTTTCAAGAGACGCCCGGGATCAAGGAACAACGACAAGAGAAGCACAGCTATAGACCCGCCAGAATGTTTTCATCACTCGCCCTCCTCATGCTTTCCCTGGCGACATTGTCGCTTGCGGCACCTTCATCACAAGAATACCACATGTTTCCTCGTGTCCGAGTCCCTCAATCGCATTTCGAAGTCCTCAAGATGCGGCAAAATGTCCTCCTCAACCCGCGTGCTGTCACAGATGTAGAGTGCATAGACCGGACAGCGTATGTCTCCTCCCCGTCCCATTCGTTCCTTAGCCCAGCTAACCCACGATCAGTCACATCGTCTTCCACGACCAAAACGATGCCGAGCTCTCCATCTGCGGTGGCATCGCCGAGTCCGTCACGAAATGTCATGGTTCACCAACCGAGACGATCGGAAAGTCAGGCAGTGCCCTTTTCACCCTGAAGCCTATCAACCAAGGGGCGACCATCAACATCGACAAGAGGAGATGGGAGCAGTGCGTTCGGGCCGCTCGGGCGGTATGTCCCACAGGGAGCTTTTCGGCGAGGTGTATCGGCGGCGCGAGTTCTGGCGACGTTGGATTCAAGTTGTTGCCTTCTTGAATGATGGATGCCGTGTGTCGGATTGGTTTTTGGAGCAATTTGTCGGAAATATCGATCAAACCTCCCCACCGAGGTTTTACTCCCTTTCGCAACTGAGCATTTTCACATCATCGTGAGACGGACCTTGTAGAACCAAAACATAGAACAAAGATACCCAAAAGTTTTTTCTTTTCAACCCATACCCATGCCCAAAACCACGAAAGAGGAAACAACCCGGGTATCATGATATAACGCCTCCCTTCACCAAATTTTTTTTTTTCATAACCCATACCTAGTAACACACTCCTCCCTGTGCGCCTCTAAACAATCCAGCGCACACACTCTCACTCCACACTTCATACATTTCACCCGTCCCCAATATCCACACACCTCACAGAATACCCGAATCGGATACTTGCCCTCTTCTTCCCCCCACGTCGCCCTCGCCTCAAGATAACTCAGCGGCGGAGCAGTCATCAAAGCCCGCAGCTCCTCATCCGTCGGAAAAGGCGGCACCCTCGACACAAGCAACGGATCTGAGTCCCCAGGGTGCGCAGCAGGCGGCGCCTTTTTATACGCCGGCAGAATTGTCCCATCAGGTGGGTACGAGGCTACAACAACAGGTTGTTGTTCAGTGGGTGGGGCATCCGTCATTTCGACGTCGTCTGCCTTTTCTTGTGAGCTGTCGGGCTCTGGTTTCGGGACGGCAGCGGCAGCAGCGGCCTCCTTGGCCTCCTTGGCCGCGGCGCGTTTGGCTGCTGCTGCGGAGCGTTTACTCGCCGGTGGCTGCTGTTTGGGTGTTGGGGCGGGGGAGTTGCGGACGGGTGGTGTTGGGATGGAGAGGGGCTTAATGGCGGCTGCGGCGGCTGCGGACGGGTTTGTTTCTGCGAGCGCGAGGAGGGCTTTGTAGTCATCGAGGTGGTTGGCAAACGTTTTTTGGGATTGGAGGATTTTGCGGACGTTGGGGGCGTGTTTGCTTGTTGCTGGTGGTCATTGTTAGCCCTGTGACGTGGTTTGGATTTGGTGGAGAGGTTTGGTTTACTTCGACTTGCTCCCTGTTTTTGGGGGATCGGAATGTTGACGTCTTTGTTCGTGTCGCGGTCGAGGGCTTCGAGATCTTTACGGAGTTTGGCGTCCTGCCGAGCTGTGAGGTCAGATGCACTGAGGCTGGGTTGATTGCGCGCTGCGCGCTTGCGGTTTGGAGCTTGGAGGGCCTGGCCTGGGGCCGGCCCTACATCGGGCACGTATGCCCATCCTGGGGCGCGTGTTGTTTTTGCGCTGGCGACTTCGATGACGCCAAAGTTGTTCATGGTTGTGATGGAGGTTGATGGAGCGAAGTTGAGGGTTCGGGGGGCAAAGTGATTGAAGATCCGGGGTTAGGGTTGCTTGTGACTTTGAAATGTCTTCCAAAATGATAATGGTAGTATCTGAAACCAGAATAGGAGTTAGAACCGCCGGTGATTTTTGAGTAGATATACACCGTCATATTGAACAGTTCAATTTTCTCAATCCAGATGTTGAGTTTTGCTCATAAACAGTGTCACAGATGTCTCTGGGACACTCAATGAAGACGGGAAATGCCTACAATGAGGGACTCCAGAGAAAACGTGAAACTACTCAAAAGTCTCTTCTCAAAAGCCGGCAAAAATCAATACACCCGCGCTCATAGAAACCTGGAGCCCTATGAAGTTGGTGCGTCACCCCTGAGTGGAGGTAAACTGTGAGGGAAAAAAAATGCAAAAGATTAGAAGGAGCCTTCGTGGATTGAACACGAGACCTACCGGACTGCAGCCGGTTGCTCTACCACTGAGCTAAGACTCCGCCTTGCTTGTTGAGATGCGGAGCGGAAAAGCCGCTTAGGTAGTGAATCAGCTCTCCCCGCCCGGAACCAAAACTCAATTCCAGGGACATGCATGGAATGCACGTCACCTTTCGCACTGGAATTCCTCCTTTTCTTTTCTGCTCCAAATCGCGTTCAAGATTTACTTGTCTCCTGATACAGGCTGTTAGACTCTGTTCAACAAAGCTAGCAGCAGCGCGTGGACATGGAAACAACACCAAATTGGCTCACAACGCTCCGACAAACCACAGTCTGCAAGGAACCTCTCGATCCGCCAGAAACATTGACTTGCGAATGGCCCCAGTTGCACTCAGCCGTCAGTATCCCCATTCCGGCGCTCGCATCTAGCCAACTCGCCGGAGTCAACGGACGTCGAGACAGGCAGTCCAACCTTGCACTTCAACCAGATGCAAGAAACATCAAAAGCAATAATCACCAATCCATAACATGCTATTACCTAGGAACCCTCAAAAAATACAAAGCAAAAGCCGACCGGCAGGTCCCAGTCCTTATTCCCCCATACCAACCCAGCCCATTTTCATATCCATCCCTCATTTCTTCTTTTTCTTCTCAGTACTCTCGATCCTCTCCTCCAACGTACCAACATACTTGCTCAACCGATCGACCGCATTCTGAAGCGCCTATATCAAAACCTGCGTCAGCATCTCTCTCTCTCTGTGCACCCACAACGACAACGACAACATCCCAAACTAAACCAGTAACAAACGAAACAAAGGAGAGCCATGCCCCCTTGGCCCTGGCCCCCCGGCTCCCACTCCCACTCCCACTCGAAAGATTGTGCGAACGCGCAAAGTGGATAATACCGTATGAATGAAAGCCAACGGAACTTGTGGAAATCAGATGCAGACACGCACGTAGATATCCTCCGTCAACAACTCGTTCGACGCCTTGTAATCCTGGAGGGCATAGTAGTAAACACCGCTGCCGGCAAGCGTGCTACCAAAGAAGAATCCAAAGAGACTGTGGCCCGCCAAAAGTCAGCATGCAATTTGATTGGGATGCGACGGATGGACATACCCTCCCCTGAGAGCGCCGACCGGCCTGCGCGCGGGAATGGGCGCAGCGGCGACAGCATCGCGACGAACGGTCGAGGTGGCAAAGGTTCGGAGAGGCGCCGCGCGGACGCCCGAGAGGAGTATTCTCGCAGCCATTGTTGTTCAATGTGATGTAGGACGTGAAAGCTGTCGGGCCTTTGACCGGGAGCACGGAGTCTTGGTGGGAGTTGTCGGCGGGATGGGTATGGGTCGCGTGGATGTCGCTCACGCAGGCAGGGATTTAGCTCGCAGAGGGCTTGGCAGCCAATCGATGCAAGGGGCAGCAAAATTTGGCGGTCACCAAGGGCAAAATCGGGAGCTGAACGTGGCCTTAGCAGACTGGCAATTGGATGCTTGGCAGGCACCTTGATGTCGAGGCGGGAACCAGCACTAGGGTCACGATTGCAACAATCAAGAAGACATGGTTTCTTCATCAGGTCAATTCATTATCAGATGCACATAGGTATTTTTGCTCCCATCCCGGAAAAGCGTATCAGCCGATCCCTCAATGAAAAACCGAAACATGCGTAAAATACAGATCGCTCTTCCACTAGAGCTCATCGTGGGCAGTCTCCTCAGCAGCCTCGGCCGAGGTGGTCTCAGAGGCAGCGGCGGGCTCCTCAGCCTTCTCCTCAACCACAGCCTTGTACTTGCCGTTCTCGGCAATGAACTTGATGAGATCCTCAACAGTGCGGGAGCCGGAGTAGGTCACAGCCTTGTCCTTGGCGCCAGCGGGGTAGAGCTTGATGGTGGGGAAGCCCTGGATCTCATCGGGAACGTCGTTGGCAGTGGCGTCAACCTTGGCGATGACAACCTTGTCCTTGAACTCGCTCTTGGCATACAGGGCACCGAGCTCCTCGTACTTGGGAGCAAGAGCCTTGCAGTGACCGCACCACGGGGCGTAGAACTCAATCAGGACATCCTTGTTGTCGTCAAGGACAATGTCGTTGTAGTTCTTGGCAACAACAACGGCAACGGGGCCGTCGTTAGACTCGGGGATAGGCTCAGACTTGATACTGGGCTCAATCTTGCCAGCGACGAAGTCATCAACGAAAGCCTTAATGGCATCGTGAGTAATCTTCTTCTCTTGATCGAAGGGGAACTTCTGGTTCTTGACGGTCTCCTGGATGGCGAAGGCGGGGAACTTGTCGGCCTTGAGGTTAAGGTTGCCGGCGTGGGCGCCGTAGGCAGCCGCATCGATAGTGGCGAAGTTGATGACACCCTTCTGGGCCTCAGCGATGGGCTTGACAGCATCGCTGAGCTCCTTGCGCTCCTCGGCGGTCTCGGCAAAGATGTAGGCGAGGGGGATGCCGGCCGACATGTAGTCGGAGTAGGTCTCGGGGCCAACCTCACCAATCAAGGGGGTGGCAGCAGTCTTAGCGAATTTCTCAATCGCCTCGACGTCGAACTTCTCGGTGAAAGTGGCCTTGCCCTCATCGAAGGACTTGTAGAGAACGACCGCGGGGGCCTTGACACCCTCAGCCTCGGCGAGCTCAGCATCGGTGCTGGAGCCAAAGGGGTAGTTGTCCCGAAGCTTGTCAGCAAGCTTGGAAAAGACCTCGGCCGAGGCCTTGTCAGAGGCATCGAGGTAGGCAACAATCACGACCTTGTCGGCCTTCTTGAACTCCTCCAGGTTGTCTTTGCTGACGGTTGTGACCGCAGGCAGAGACTGCTTGATCATGTATGATGTGATGGCACCGGCCTTCCTCTGGCCCTTGTAGGGAGAGACGTTGTCAAGGCCGCGGAAGACCTTGAGAGTCGGGTAGCCCTCAACACCGTGCTGTTGGCACAAATCGGTCTCCTCTGTGCAGTCAACCTTCGCGAGCTTGATACCCTTCTCCTTCAGCTGCGTAGCAGCCTCCTCGTACTCTGGGGCGAGGGCCTTGCAGTGTCCGCACCACGGGGCGTAGACTGTCCAAGACACGTTAGTTGGAGGCTGGCTAATGGGGCAGGCAGGAAAGCTTACACTCTGCGAGGACGACCTCGTTATTCTTGACGAAATCGTCGAAAGTGTCCTTCTTGAGGACCTCAACATCGGAGGCGCTGGCGACGGCCGCGGCCGCGAGCAGCCCGAAGGCGAGCTTCTGGACTCTGTGCATCTTTACTGTTGACACCTGAGGAAGGGAGTTAGCTACCGATTGATTGGAATTGCAGGCAGTTTGGTTGTCGAGGTAGGTGCAAAGGCAAAGGAAAGGCGGAGGAGAAAAGATTGGGGCGGTTGCACAAACTTACTCTATAAAAGCACACCGAAAGATAGGGAATACAAGATGAAAAGTGTATACCAAGTAGGTATGTGATGAATGAATTGGCACCCCGAGGACAAGATCCTTCCTCTTTAAATTGAATGGAGCGGGAGTGTGGACGAAATCGTTGATGCGTGCAGATACCGGTGGACTTTTATCTCGAATTTCCAAAAGGCGGATCAAGCATCAGGGTCTAGAGAACAGGTGTCTTTTCGCCAGCTCTGGGGAAGGTCAGCCTTGGCCCCTGTGTAGCGCCACCGACTTGGACGGGATCCGTTGCAAGTGGGGAGCTGTTGGACCCTACCGAGACCAAGCGGGCTTGGTCCTGGGGCTGAATGCACGTTGCACAAGTCTCGATACATCCACCAGCCTTGAGCTTCTCGATCACCCCTCGCTCATCAAGCGATAGTTGACGACAATCGCCTCTGTGGCTTCAGGAAATCTCTTGAAGTCTCTAAATCACCTTAATTGACCCTTCAACAATTTTACCTTTCTTTCTTTCGTCCCATCCCCAGGTAATCTGGTCATGGGTTGACGTTCCCATTTCAGAGCGATAGGCTGATAAGCTCTTGAATGCGGGGAGGTTGGTTTTGAGGTACCAGGACAAGCCGTCTAGCTGAGGCCAGAGTGGTTCCATCATTCCCTAGCAACAAATGCTTCCTGTCTGTCCGCATTTCTGCATATTGCCACGACATCGAATTCCAATCAATTCTTATGCCCTGCGCTTCACGGCTTCACAGCCTCACTACTTTAGAGAAAGGGGCTGGGAGCACGTCCCTTCCAGGTGATTGATAAGCCCATCCCACCAACCTGGTGTAGGGGCGGAGGAATTTGAAGCCAGATTACGCTTTTTCTGGAAGAAACTTGGGATTCAAGGTATCGCCGAGAAAGCCAGCGAGCGATTTGAGTAATATTACGACCGGCTTAGGCATCCGCCCCTGGGCAGGGAGTGTCGCTTCCTGCGGTGCGGCTCGCCCGACTATCGAACATCAAGAGCCAACAACCCCACGAATGCCACCCCACTGGCGAAAACGATAGGACACATGGGCATCTCAATCAGGAAACCTCACTGGCATCCCTTGTCGCTCCGCCGGGAGTTTTCTCGTCTTCCCGATCGGCCAGGGATTTGCTGAGACATGAAAGGCCAGATATGCTGGAAAACCGGAAATCGCATGTCAGATCTGCCCTGAACGGGGGCACTAGGAACCCTACGGTCCGTATGCAGAAACGTTCAAAGCGACGTTGTGTTGGGTTGGTCAGGCCAATCATGTGTAATGCCGCAGCGGCCTCGCCAAACAGGTACGAGAAGGGTCCCGCAGCCAAGATATATCGCAACTACATATTCAACGGATATCTGTCCATGAAGTGATAGTGAGAAGCGGGATGCCGCAGCTGTCACATCAAAACCTATTCCTAGCTGTAACTGATAACATATCATTTCACGACTGTGCAAGTGTTTGCATCACACCAACTTCCACGCTAGTCATGGCAGGACTTCTTGGCGAATCGCGTCCTCAACACCAACAATCTAGCAGGGGCAAGTGCCTCCCACTCAGAAGTGCTCGGTGATAGTCAGGGTGCAAGCAAAGAATGAGCCCGCCGAAGGGTCCTTTCGAAACTTCCACGGGTTGAACGAACACCTGGGCTAAACGCTCCTTCTCATTCCCTTGTTCTGTCGACTTG